AATGTAAAGCTCATATCTAAGTATGTTTTCTAAAAACTAATTTTTAGAAATAAAACTGTAATGTACCAGGACATAAACATTTCCTAAAATTGTATTAAATACTTAATGTATCTCTATTTAATGTAATATGATCCACTACCAGTTTATATTTCTATTTGACATATATAAATTACATGGGAGTTTATTTCCTTCTACATTCTCCTACCATGGATATTACAATGCTTTTATTTTTTACTGTCATAAGATAACACCAGAGTCTCATTATTATGCACAGATTCAGCTGCTTTAAATATTGTATTTTATTTATCTAAATGCTAATTTCTTCCCAAGCAAAAGTGGAAACTTAAAAGTCGGTCTAAATTTCTCTGCTCTGTGGTAAGCACTTATATTCATTTCCTATTGCTACTGAAACAAATTACCACAAACTTAGTGACTTAAAACAACAAAGACTTATGTTACAATTTTGGATGTCAGAAGTAAAAGATCAGTCTCACAGAGTAGGTTCTTTCTTGAGGCTTTAAGGAGCTAATCCATTTCCTTTCCTCTTCAGCTTCTAGAAGCTGCCTGCATTCTTTGGTTCCTAACCCATTTCTCATGTTTCCTTGACCTCCTGCTTCCATTGTCACATCTACTACTAACTCTGATCCTTCTGCCTCCCTTTTATAAGGATATTTGTGATAACATTAGATGCATTTGGATAATACCATATAATCTCCCTAATTCAAGATCCTTAATTCAAGCACATCTGAAAAGTTCCTTTTGCCATGTAAAGTAGCATATTTACAAGTTTCAGAGATTAGAAAGTAGACATCTTTGAGGGGCTGTTATTCTGTCTACCACACCACTATTCATAGATTTTAAAAACATATGTATATTTCTATTATTTAAAAATACATATTTGTACAAGGGTATTGACATATGTATTGTTTCATAACTTGCTTTTTTTACTTAACAATATATATTAAACATGATTTGTTATTCTTTAAGACTTCTGTTTTATTGAAAAGAGGAGCCCTAATTCTATTACAAGTAAAAACAAAATATCTTTGGTGAAAATTTAGGTTGATTTCAACTTTTACCTATTAAAATAAATGCTGGCCAGGTGCAGTGGCTCATGCCTGTAATCCCAGCACTTTGAGAGGCCAAGGCAGGAGGATCATTTGAGCCCAGGAGTTGGAGACCAGCCTGGGCAACAAAGCAAGAACTTGACTCTACAATAAGTTTTTTAAAAATAGCGAGGAGCCGGGCTTGGTGGCTCAGCCTGTAATCCCACGCCTTTGGGAGGCTGAGGTGAGTGGATTGCCTGAGCCCGTGGGTTCGAGACCCGCCTGGGCAGCGAGACCTCATCTATACAATAAATCAAAAAATCAGCCGGGCTTGGTAGCGCACGCCTGTAATTCCGGCTACTCGTAAGGCTGAGGCGGAAGGATCACCAGAGCCCAGCAGGTCGAGGCTGTGGTGGCCGGGAGCAGCCACTGCACTCCAGTCTGGGCAACAGAGTGAGACTCCAACTCAAAAAAAAAAAAAAAATAGCAAGGAATGCTAGTGCATGCCTGTAGTTCTAGCTACTTGGGAGGCTGAGGCAGAAGGATCATCTGAGCCCAGGAGTTCAAGGCTGTGGAGTCATGGTTGTGCCATTGCACTCCAGCCTGGGTGACAGAGTGAGACCCCGACTCAAACAATCAATCAATCAACAAACTCAAACTGCCAGAAGCCATGCTAGAGTATAGTCAGATCTCTTATTGCAGGAGTTTGAATGGAGGTGTTAGTACCGAGAGTTCTGTAGTTATCACCTGTTAGGAACTATGAGGATGTCCAGGGTCATATATGTGAGGAGACATGTAAATGGTTGATGTTAACAACTGTGCCAAAGCTTCTTCTCCTTTCTCCCTTCTAGGCCTTGTACCCACCCCCCAATCCTGAGAAAGGGGAACAGATCAGTGTGCAACCAGCTTTTTGTAACTGGCTCCCACAGGGTGGTCTTCCTCACTGACTGAAATGATCACTACCTTATTCCAGGATAGCAGCCCTTTCTGTCTCACAGAAGGAGCAAAATCCAGGCTGGGCCTCCCCAGGGTACCATGTTGCCTGCAGCTTCTATAGGCAGAGAAGCCTTTCTGAGCTGTGGTCTAACCAAGTTGAGGCTTCAGGAGAGAAGACAGCTTTAGAAACAATGGCTTTTCTTGTGTCCTCCCTTTTCCCCATCCTTTCCCCTTCTATATTTTGAGGGAAGTGGACACACTAAGAGGACAGAAACCTTATCCTGGACAGTCCACGCCAAACCAAGTGCTCTCAAGAGAAGGGCAGTTTGAGAAAGGCTGTTCAGACCTTAGGCCTCAGCTCTCAACTTCCCCTCTAATTGTGCCACCTTAGAAGGGAAGTCATCCTCACTGACTGGCAATCCCTGAGTGGTAAGTAAGGCAGGTACTTTCTTGTAGGACCCTGAGGTCTACTTAAATCGACCACCCATTAGCTTCCAGAAAAGTGTCTTTTGGATTGGTGTCTGCAAAGAATATATTATTAATGTACCCAAATCTCACTAATTCATAACCACCTGAGATTTATATGTACCTGAGGAATTTACTAAAGAAAATAAAGATGAGTAATTCTAACAATACAGTATTCATTTGAATTCAGCTACCAAGATGTTGACAAGTAGTAGTCTTAAAAGCAGTGGTGTGACATGGAAATATCACTAGACTAGGACACAACTGGTCTGGGTTACAGTTCTGACATCATCAAATTATAGATGTTTGACCCTAGGATTTTCTATCAATGTGTTGAAAACAGCTTTAAATGGTCTAGAGAGAGATGTAACTTACCCCAAACCACATAGCTAGTAAGTGACAGAGTCATTACTATCCAGATCCAGAGCTGTTAATCATTATAATATATGTCCTCTCCTTATCCGGTGCTTGGTTTATTCCTATGAGGTCTAGAACAAAGGTGTCTTAGGGTGCAACTTTCCTTTCAAACTTTTTTTCTTTGCAACTAGCCTCAAATCCTTCTGGCAGAGAATTCTTAAGACACTTCTGAGTACTCATTGAGGGGGAAGACAAACACTGTTGGGTGAAAAATCTTACTATCTGAAGATCCTCTCTAGAAAGAGGACACTATGGGGTTCTTGTCTGAACCTGAAAGGTGCTTATGGGATGGTCTGGATTGTCAGTATCAAAACATTTAAGGGCTGCAATCCTTGGGGCGGGGGGAATTGCCTTGAAATCCACATATGCCAGTCCCCCTCAGCTTTTCCTTGAATTGTATGTTTGTTGATTTGTGGATGGCTTGTGTGTGTATACATAAGCTGATGGAGAGGAAGGGCAGGAGAAGGCTTTTCTAACCAACCACCTTATCTGAAAGAGGACATTCCTGGGCCTCAGGAATGGAAAGTGAATATATTCTCCATGTTATCTCCCCAGAAAATTTCTCAATCATAGGGGATTGAGGTTAAAGGGGATTCTGGATGGCGTTGTATATACAGGATGATGATCTGTATCTAACCAACACCCATTCTGCAAGCCCCAACTTTGTCAAAACTTCAATACTTGATGGGTATTGTGACTGCTTACAGAGTCTTCAAACGAACTCAGGCTTTTCCATTTTCCCGATGAATTCATCCGGATAAGAAAGATACTTGGTCTGGTGATCTAAAGGCTTAACAGTAATTGTACATTGGAGTAAATTGTGCGGCATCCTCTGTAATTCGTGTTTACCAGACATTCACTTCCACCCCTAAATGTTTCTCCTAGGGAATTTTAATTCTAAGTTAGTGCCTGAAGGATGAAGAGTAATCGGGTCTATATACTTTCTCTCTCCTCCCCGCCACTCCCTCTCCCTCTCTCTCGGAAACTGCACCCATCCAAAAAGTCAGAGCAACAAAAACTTGACAGCTTAATGTGTGTGCCCTATTTCCTGTCCCCGCCTCACACGCATGTACAGATTAAGGGTTGAAGGAGGCTAAAGAATCAAAGGCTTTAGAATCAAAAGGTTTAGCGCGCAGGCAAGGCTCCACTCCAAGGTTCCTAGATCTTTAGTTAGATCCTCTTCAGCCTTATAACTCCTCTCCCCCCATTTTCAAGAACGCTTTCAGCTCTGACTGTCTTCTTGCTCATTTTCTCGTCACTGGAAATCGCGCCCTTAGCTTTCAGTCCTTGGAATGCTAGCATAGGGGAGATGACCGAGACAAAGCGGGGGCTGTAATCTCCACAGTAACCGCGGGGTGCGCATGCGCATTCTCTTCTCCAATCAGTTCTAATTAGGTTTCTGCTCCACAGCCCGTTAGAAGCTGTGAGAGGGTTCAGTATGAAGACAAACAAAATATTAACACACGCCTTAACAGATCGGGTGCTGATATAAACTGTGCTGGCAGATTGTTCAGTCTGACTCAAGACACAAGACCAGCTGCCTTCAGGAAAGCTATTGTTGATTTTCAATAGCCATCCTCTGAGGATATGGGCTCTTGTCATTTCTGCCAGAGTTATCTCTCCCACTCCCCCCTTTAACTCAACATTGTCTTTCTGAAAGACTTTCAAATTTCCCAAAGGTGTTTTACACACTGCTCTCGTCTTCACTAAGTCCCTCTCACCCTCCCTCTCCCCATCTCAGGTCTCACTATAGATGTCTCTAAGGCACATCTTGTCCCCAGCCCTCCGTACCACTTCATCCTTCTCACCACCATCCCTGACCACTTTCTCACTCATCCCCTACTTGACTTAACTGCATCTTCCTTAGCCTTTCTTGAATCCCATCACTTTCTCCACCATCCCTCCTAATACCTAAAATTGGGAGTTATTCCTGTGGACTCCCATAGCACTCTGAGCTTATGCCTATTATACCACTTGCCACAGCATAATATAATTGCTAGTTTACTTCCCCTTAAGCCCTGGGGTCCAGCTGGGTCTTCTTCACCCTTATATGCATAGAACATAGCACTGCTCAGAGCATGACAGGTGCTTTGTAAATGTTTATAGAATAAGTGAGTGTATAAATATGTTGTCTAATTCATTATTCTTTTATTTTTCACTACACTTTGGAATACCAAAGCAAATACAGGTAAATGTCAGTCATTAATACATATAAACACAAAGGGAGGGGAACTATAGATAAGTAATTTTGTGTTTGTTTTTGGTGTGTGTGTGTTGTTATTGTTGTTTAACTCCTGTACCAAATCATTTTACTAATTATATCAAAGATGTGAGTATTGCCAATATATTTTACACAGCTATCTGAACTTTTATACCTAAACAAAACAGGAATGCAAACGAGCAATTTCACTTATAAACATTGATCATTAACCTAATCCAAGAGCATATTAAAAAGAAGGAAATACTATTAGAAGTGGGACACAAACAGCAAGCACAATGGGTAGTCTCCACCCCCAATCTTCCTTGACTTATGATTTGTGGCCCCAGTGCCTATTTTCCCAAGAACCTTTTAATTGATGCCACTCAAATTAAGTGATACATCTTCCCTAGATGTCACATAGGGCCAAAAAAAAATGTGGCAGTTGCCTCGGATCTGGCTCTGGCCTCCTCATCTTCCACAGCCTCCCTATATTGCTCAGGCCAGTCCTGTGGTCGCTTTTTGTAGAGCCTGGCCATGTGCTCCAAGGCTTTCATTTTGGTGGTTTCAAGGTAAGCTTGAGGACCCCATAGAAGCTCATATTCAACTGGATTAGAGTAGGACAATGGCCTGCATTCTAAGTAGCGTTGTCTCATAAGCCTACAGGTGATGGCATGCTTTCTCCCTACATACACACTAAATCTCTGAAGCAAGTTCCAAACATTGGCCTCTTTGACACGGTTACCCATCAGGAAGATCAAACCCAGTATCGGCATCACATATTCTTCAGTAGGGCTTCCCAGGTTCTCTAGCATCACTTGTTCTTCTTCCGATTCTGGTTGCTGGACAAGGAGGTAGATGTGCTCACTGGTATCAACCTCAATCAGAGAGAACCCATAGAACAGATCAAGGATTAGAGTAGCTCGACTGAGGATATTTGGGAACACATCCACAAATTCTTTGCCAGTGTGAGCTAATAGCTCATCCTGATGTATAGGCAACAACTCCTCAGTGACATTAATGGCCAACTGGACCAAATCATTTGCCTTATCATTCATAATATCCTCTGACCAGAACTCTAAACCAGCAGCGTGACTTCTTTCTTTGGCTTTGTCAGCTTCCAGGGCCTTGTTATATTCTTCTGGCCAGCTCCAGGGTTCTTTATCATGGGCCTCTGCCACAAACTTAAGGGCTTCCATCTTGGTGATTTCCCTGTGGGCTCTAGAGCCCCACAGGAACTCAAATTCGAGGGGATTAGTGCCATACACCGGCCAATACTCCAAGAATTGCATACGTACAAAGTCAGTAGTGAGGAGGTTCTTTGTATTCCCAAAGAAATTGTTGATCCTCTGAGGCTCATCGAACGTATCAACTTTTAGCAGCAGGTCCCAAATCGAGGCCTCTCTTGCCCGGTTGCCATTCAGGAGGATGTGGCCTAGGACCAGTGCCAGGAGACCTACCTTTGGTATGTCCAGGGACTCTGCTATCTGATCAGTGGTTTGGGAACCTTGTTTGCTGACTAGGTTGTAGATGTCAGCTTGGGGATCAAGAACTCTCAGGTTCAACCCAAAGACCCGGTTCAGGTGAGCTGAGGCTCGTCTGAGGATCTCAGGGTACTGATCTGAATATTCTCTCAGAAATTCCAGCATCTCTGACTGCTGGATGGACCCCTCAGTTTGGCTTTTCATTTGCATGAAATTCGCCAAAGCAATCGACCTGTCTTCTAAAGGGTCATGGACCTTGAGCGCCCCCAAACGTCGGGACTGCTCGTCGATCAGGACCTCGAGATCAGTTGAGTCCTGAGCAGCCTGGGAGGCGCTGGCACCTTGAGGGTTGATTGATGCCTGGAGGCCCTGGGGAATATCAGGTACTAGGATGGAGGTGGGAGGCCCGGAGGCGTTAGTTGCCTGCATTTCACCCCGGCCGTCGCTGTAACCTGCAGTGGTCTCTGTGCTGCCATGTCGCGCATTCTGGCTTACCAGAGACATAGTTCCAGGAGATAGGAGCAGGAACCCGGAGATCAGAGATCAGTCGGAGAGATGACAGTAGGCGTGTTGGTGCATCGGCACAAAGCCAAAGCCCGAGATCCAGAAGCTGGGAGGATCAGGAATGAGAACTGGTGAGAAGAGCGGTCTCTCTACCCAAGCACAGGCCAGCGATGACTGCAAGCTTCAGCGCGTTTAGGTTTGCCGCAGCCCACACAGGCGCAGTCCGGCTCTGAGCAGTGTTGGCCACGCCCCGCTCATCTTCCACTCCCGCCCCCCACCTCTGCTTGGCAAACGAGGCTGATTGAAATGGTTGTTGCTGAGCTCCGACTTGTTAGAGAAGATAATTCAAAAATAGGAAAACAGAGATAAAGCAAAGGGGGCAAGGTATAGGGGGTGTTCGATGACACTCCACGTGAAGTTTTTCTGTAGGGTATAAAGCACCATGCTAACAGGCAGTAAAGGATTGAGAGAGGAGGAGAAGGAAAAGGATGCTAATAATGAGAATTATTTTACAGATTCATTAATGCATCCACTCAACAGATATTTCTTGGTTACGTGTCACATATCCGGCACAGTGCTAGGTATTAGGGGTACATCAGAAGACAAACATAATGATATCCTTTTTTGTGTAGAGCTTACATCCTGGAGTAGATTCAAAAAAATGATAATAATAATAATGAGAGTTAACATTTATGGAACACTTACTATGCCAGGCACTATTTATAGTGCTTTCATTTTCCTCATATTATATCATATAACCCTAGCTATAAGGTAGCTACTCTTAATGATTTTCATTTCCCTGATGAGGAAACTGGGTCAAGTCAAGCAGCAACAAGTGAAAGAGATCAGGCTTTGAACCTACGTCTGTCAAGCATAAGAACTTTCTTTCACACCACCTGACCTTTAGCCTTATTTATTAAACATGAATCATATAAAATAAATGGAAATGGGTGCTCTTAAGGAGGATCAATTAACATATGGTACAAACGGAAGAAGAAAAAAAGCAATGAATTATAGCTTAGTCTGGTATGTCTTGGATTGGGTCAGTTGTCAAGGACGCATCAAGGAGGAGTGGAGCTCTAAATGTTGGGGGAAAATGGGAAAGGTGAATAGGGGTATTTAAGCCTGAGAGAACAATGACAGGAAAGGCTCAAAGGAGTGAAAGTACAAAATAAGTTTTTATAACAGTCAGTCACCCAGGGTGACTAGAGGCAGAGTGCACTAGGTTGGGCAGGAGATGAGGGTGAAGGTGGGTAGACAGGAAGGATTGCGCTTTCTGTTTTTCATTTAGTATGCCAGAACTGGTTGGGGTTCCACAGGAAAGTGGCAGTACCAGAATAGGGCCTGTTCATTCAGAGGGTTGTTAATATTTGTGTATGTCTGCAAGCACACGTGTTTGGGGAGACATAATCCAAACACTTTGGCCAGGAAGAGGACAGTCAGCAGCTTTATTTCTGAGAGTGCTACCAATATAGTTGGGCTAAAGCATAGTTATAGTTCTAGCCTTCAACCATCAATGAATGCAGTGGAGCACTGGGAAGGAAAAAAAACATTATATAAGGTTGCCATCTGCAGTCACAACTGAAATTCTTCCTTAAAATTTCTTTCTTTTTTTTTTTTTTTGAGTTGGAGTCTTACTCCGTCGCCCAGACTAGAGTGCAGTGGCCCGCTCCTGGTCACTGCAGCCTCGACCTGCTGGGCTCCTGTGATCCTTCTGCCTCAGCCTTCCTAGTAGCTGGAATTACAGGTGCACACTACCACACCTGGCTGGAAATTTTTGATAGTAATGAATACTGTTACGTTCAGTAATCCCGTGCGCTGGAATTCCTTCAGAGACCACTGCCTTCACATGTGGAGGCTGCTCACCTCTGACATTTTCTGTATCCTAGGTACTTTCTACTACATCAAAATAGGTAATTTGGACTATAGATTTGGCAAAACTGGGCTCAAGAGATCAATGTTTAGACAACTAATTGTGCATTTTTGCAAGGTAGAAATGAGTGATTTGTGTGCTGATTATTCCTTGGGAGAATGTTGTAGAAAGCAGCACAATCTCCTAGCTGCTACAAAAGTATAATTGAAGTCAGATCTAGTGGGGTCCCTCACCCTGGTCTTTCCCCTTCCTCAGAGGGGTTGCATGTTTCTTGTCTTAAATAGGTGCTCCCCGGGGGAAAATTCAGAGATGATTTTTAACTTCCTAGTTATAAATGAAAACAAATACATTTTTTTTTCCTCAAATGCAGGTCACATTTTCTCATAAGTTGGACCTTCTACTACCTCCTCATCTAATAAAGAAATACAACATCTTAAAGAATGACAACATCTTACCTCTGAAATGGCATCCTAATCCTATTCCACAATATTTAAATCTTTAGTAAATTGGTTCTTTCCTGGCTCTCTGTCTTCATCTTTATCTCCCAGTGTACCCTTCCATAAAATCTGCTCCCTAGCTTCATTGATCTACACATTTGGCCATTTCTATTCTACAAGTCTCTAAACATTTCTAATTATTGCTAAATGAATAATAAAAGAGTTATGCCTGTGACTGTGTGACATATGGTATGTTTTCCACTCCTTTTAAACGTGATAGAAAAAGATGGGATTATATTCTATATTCTGAATTTCTTTTGGTACTTTCTGACCCTCATTTTTACACTTTTAAAACATATGAATATTATTCCATACAACTGTTTGTCTTCAGCATAATTTTAATGAAGTATTTTTACTTTATTACTGAAATATGACATGCACAGAGTTAGGTGCACAAATGGTGAATGACAAATTTAATATACCATCTGACCAGGATGCCAACCAAGAACTAGTTAATTACTAGCATCCAAGAAGCTCCCATGGCACTCTCACCCAATCACTTCTCTCTCCCTTGTTCTGAGAGGAAACTTCTATTCAAACTTCTAGCATCACAGATTAGTTTTGCCTTTGCCCGAACTTTAAATAATATCAATAAAATTATACAATACACTTATTTGTATTCATCTTGTTCCAATAAAACCCCACTATGTTGTATTATGTATCCATGTTGTATAAAGCAATAGGTCACTTTCATTACTATATAGTTTATCATTATATGAATATGTATCACAACTTAGCCTGTCAACTGTTGAGGGACATTTGCCTTGTTTTCAGTTTGTGGCTTTTACAAATAATACTGCTATGAACTTTTATTTATTTTAAATTTTAGAGTTGTGGGGATTTGCTACATAAGTAGGCTGCATGCAGGTGAGATTTGGGCAACTAGCTGGCCCTATCTCCCCTTGGTAGTGGACCAGGTACACATTGTGTTGCCACATGTCCCTCCCCTCCTTCCTCCTTCCCTCCCCTACCAGTGCCCAGCATCTGCCAATCCCACCCTTGTGCTAGTGTGACTAGTGTTCAAGGCCTGCTTATGAGTGAGAACATGTGGTATTCAGTTCTTTGTTTCTGTGATAGTTCAGTTAGTATGATAGTCTCCAATGGCATCCAAATTGCTTTGAAGGCCATGATTTTGTTCTTCATAGTTGTATATGTATATGTGTATCTGCATTGTGTATATGTGCCACATTTTCTGCGTATGTATATGTATATCTGCATTGTGTATATGTGCCACATTTTCTGTATCTAGTCCAGTTTCTATGGGCTTCTGGATTGGTCCCATGTTCTAGCTAGTGTGAATAGTGTAGTAATAACCCTATATGTGCAGATGTCTTTTTGGTAGAGCGATTTATGTTCCTCTAGTATATTCCAAGTAGAGGTATTGCTGGATCATTGAAGCTCAATTTTTAGTTCTTTGAGAAATCATCACAATGCTTCCCATAGAGGTTGAACTTGCTTATATTCCCACCAACAGTGTAGAAGCATTCCCATTTTTTCTACAGTCATACCAGCACCTGCTGGTTTTTTGTTTGTTTGTTTGTTTGTTTTGCTTTGTTTTGTTTTTTTACTTTTTAATGATAGCCATCCTTACCAGTGTTAGGTGGTATCTCATTGTAATTTTGATTTGCATTTCTCTGATGATTAGTGAGGCTGAACATTTTTTCATATACTTGTTGGCTGATTGCATGACACCCTTTGAGAAGTGTCTGTTCAAGTGCTTTGCCCACTTTTTAATGGGGTTGGTAGCTTTTATTCCTTTCAGTTCATTAAAGTTCCTTGTAGATCCAGGATGTTAGGCCTTTGACAGATGCATAATTTTCAAATATTTTTTCCTATTCTGTGGGTTGTCCCTTTACTCTCTTGATGGTTTCTTTTGCTGTGCAAAAGCTTTTCAGTTTAATATGGTTCCAGTTGTCTATCTTAGCTTTTGTTGCATTTACTTTTGAGGATTTGGTCATTAATTCATTGCCTACTCCAATGTCCATTAGGGTGTTCCCTACATTTTCTTCTAAGATTCCTATAGGCTGAGGTTTTTATATTTAAGTTCTTGATCTATTTTGAGGGTTTTTTTTGTATGATCATAGGTAGGGGTCCAGTTTCATACATCTACATGTGGCTAGCCAGTTTTCCCAGAACCATTTGCTAAATATGGTTTTCTTTCTCCAGTGTTTGTTACTGATGGCTTTGTCAAAGATGAGTTGGTTGAGGGATTATGCTTTCATTCCCAGAATCTCTGTTCTGTTCCATTGGTCTATATGCCTATTCCTGTAGCAATACCATGCCAACTTGGTTACTGTAGTACTGCAATATAGTTTAAAGTTTGGAAGTGTGATACTGCCAGCTTTGTTTCTTTTGCTGAGGATTGCTTTGACTATTCATGCTCTTTTTTGCTTTCCTATGAATTTCTGTATTGTCTTTTCTAGGTATGTGAAAAATAATGCTGGCAATTTGGTATTGAATCTGAAGATTGCCTTAGGTGGATGCCAAGTATGGATCTTGACAATATTGATTCTTCCAATCCATGATCATGGTATGTTTTTCCATTTGCTTGTATCATCCTTGATTTGTTTGAGCAGTGTTCTATAGTTCTCACTGTAAAGGTCTTTCACTTTTCTTGTCAGGTGGATGCCAAGGTATTTCATTTTTGTGCCAATTTGACTGGGATTGTCTTTTTTATTCAGTTCTCAGCCTGCTTGTTGTTGGTATATAGAAATGCAACTGTCTTTTGCACACGTATTTTATAACCTGAGACTTTACCAATGTCATTTATCAGTGTGAGGAGGTTTCCGACAGATTCTC